CGCCTTGACGGTATTCAAGAAACTCGACGGAGGTCTTGTCGAGAGAGTTTCGCCGATGGGTGACAAGCTCGAACAGGAACTGAACGATGCCTTCGGGCAGCATCCTCATGTTGGCGACATTCGTGGTCGCGGGCTGTTCCGCGGTATTGAAATTGTCGAGGACAGAAGCACCAATACCCCGTTCGACCCCGCGCGGGGGATCAACAAGTCCGTGAAGAACGCGGCTTTCGACGCCGGTCTGATCTGTTATCCGATGGGTGGGACGGTTGATGGTGTCCGCGGCGATCATGTGTTACTGGCGCCGCCTTTCATAATTGAAGACAGCCACGTCACGGAAATCGTCGACAAGCTGGATCGTGCCTTCAGATCCGTTTTCTGACCCTGTGCGGAAATATTGCGAACAGGTATTCCAGATATTAATATTGCATAATATTACGTAAAGTTAAGTTGAATGAACGTCGCTGAGCACCATTTCTGAAGAAGCAAAGCTTAGGAGGTGAAGGTGATAGATAATTCAACAGAAAACGGCGAGAGAATTACTGCAGATCAAATTGATACAACCTTCCTGAATCGGTTTGCAGCGGGTTTCGTCGCCATGATGAACAATATGTACGACGTTGCAAAACAACGTTTGCCGCAGAGTAGCGGAGATGAAGAAGCCAAACTCGAAACGTCGTCGAAAAAGCGGTCCGCCTATCAGGGTTTGGCAGACGACCGGCCCGTGGAGTTTGACGAAGGATACGGTTCCGGAGGTTACCGCGGTTCGGAACGGTTTCACCACTTGTATCACTAGCGCTCATCGATTGAGTGTTGGATTCGGCCGGCGCGCTTTCTTCTGCTGACCAGGCGGCTTGTGTGCAACGGTGTACCCCACCACAAGCGCAATCCAACGCAGTCAGCGGGAGAAAGAGCCCGGCCCTTCGGGTGCCGGAAAGCAACGCATCGGCAGCGTTGCGCCACTTGACCGATGCACCGCATCGCCCTTCGTGACGCGCCTTGCCGAGTGACCTGCTTTCCGGCATCAAACGAACGAACATTCAATGGACGCGCTCCCGGATCGCGTCGGCACCAAAAGTGTCGGCCCGAGCGTTCGAAGCTGAGCAATTTCAAAAACGCGGCACCATGATATCTCGTTTTGGGCTCGTTAGTCGTCCGAACCGATCAGGACCGCTTCAGGGCAATGCAGGCCGTCCCTGCCGAGTTCCGAAACGACCCAGTCCTGGAACAGGCGAACTTTGCGGCTGTTCTTGTTTCGCGGCGGATAACTCAGCGCCCAGGATTCATCATCCGCTGCACATACAAGGTCAAAAGGCTGAATGAGCTGACCTTGCTGCAAGGCCTGCCTGCAAAAATAAGGCGTTAGAATTGCAACACCCTGTCCCGCGATGGCCCTGTTGGCCTCAAGTGCCTGGGAACCCATGCGCGATGTCGGCCATTTCGTCAGATCGGCATCAGGAAGTCCTGCCGCACTGAACCAGGTGCGCCACCGGGGTCGTCCGGGTCGATTATCGGAGAAGCTTACGAGTAAATCCGCGGGCGTATTTATGCCGCCAATGCCCTGTGCAAGCTGAGGTGCAACCAGTGGTGTGAATTCAGCGGCGATCAGCGGAATAGACAAATTGCCCTTCCGGAGGAGGGTAACAAGCGGAAATCGTCACGTCCGCCTGGTCGAACTTTTGAGCTTCTCCCAGGGGCCGTAGGAAACCAACCGCACGGCAATGTCGGGGTTTGCATCTGAAGAGGAAAACATGCGGGATGCAAGCCAGTTCACGGCAAAGGTCGTGTTGCTCGAAACGACCAGTTCGCTCGCGTCTGCATCCTGCACGTCCTGGAAAGTCTGCCGCAATCGAGAGAAGGCCTCGACGACTCCCTCGGCAAGAAGGGCTCCCTGTTGTGTCAGATCGATCTTGCGTGTTTTCCGTTCAAAGACCGCAAAACCGAGTTTCTCCTCCAGCAGCTTGATCTGGTAACTGACGGCCGCTTGTGTCAGTCCAAGCTCGTCCCCGGCTTTCGTGAAACTCAGGTGCCGGCTCGCTGCTTCAAAGGCACGGATCGCGGAAAGAGGTGGGAGGTTGAGCGTCATGCATAAATTTCCCTTATGCATAGATGACAAGATTTCGTTGGTCAGACGGGTTCCGGAAGCCGATATGTAACTCACAGATATGTGGAGTTACAACAATGTCAGATCAAATTTGTTGCACACAAGACGTTGGCGCCCGCAAGAGAGAAAGGAATTTCTCCCTAGTTAAGCTTATTCAAACTTTGGTGGGTTCGCTGCGAACGAACAAACGCCGCCGGGTTAATCTGACCGATTTGCCACCTGAGTTGATGAAGGACATCGGTTTCGAGGTGCCACCGCGGGGTGACAAATCGCTGGAGCAGCACTGGCTTACCGAACTCGACCGCCTGTCGCGGTAGTATCTGGTGATCGAATCCGTTTGCTGGCCTCGCAGATGACCGGTTCACTCATCGTAAAACTGGATTTCCATTTCACAGGCGGCATCGCGCAAAGGAATCAGGTCCCGATAGGCACTTGAGTTGTAAAACCGCAGGGCATTTCCAGATCCGGATATCGGAATACGGCGGTAACATGCCGGATTTTCTCATTGCCACGCAGCGTCGTCCTGTAAGTGCCCCGCACCACGGTCTCAATGTTGTGGTTGTGCATGAGTTCGGCAGCCTTTCGCACGTAATCCTGAAAGGCCTCGCTGTCTTTGATCGTCGCATAGGAAAAGTTGAGTACAGGCATTTTCATGGCTCTCGTTGCGGAAATGTTCCGGGGTCAGAGGACAAGCGCCCAAACTGTTGCCGCCAGCATGGCAATCGCCATGGCGACTGTAATGGCCCGCATGACAGGTCCGTCCCCGATCAACGTCAGGATGGAGACACCTGCGAGTGCCCAGAGCGAGTGGAAGACCAGACCGCCCAGCATGAATCCTGTCATGAGAATGAGGGCGGTTTCAGGAACACTTAGTGTATTGCCGGCAAAAAATGTCGAGAACGCCACAAGGCTCATGGCCCATGTTTTCGGACTGAGCGGATGGATAAGCAGTCCTTCCCAGAAGCTGGGCAGGGACACGTCGCCTCTGGGTTTTATGCTCAAACTGATGATGCGCCAGGCAAGATAGGTCATGTACGCCATGCTCAGCACCTTGAAGATCGTAACGATTGTCCCGCCGCCTGCCATTACGTGACCGAGCCCGTATGCCACGCTGAGATTGAGCGCAATGGACCCGACCTGCGATGCCATGATCACCGGAAAGGCCGTGCGGTATCCGGCCGAGGCGCCGATCGCGAGAAGGTCAGGTTCCCTGGACCAGGTTCCTGTCATGACGATCACGAAAACCGCAAAGGCTAACAAAGTGGCGAAGTCCATCGAATGTCTCCAACAATAAATCGATACAATCGATACAAAATAGCGGAGATATTAATTGTCTTGAGATATTGTATCCGTCAATGTAAATATTGTTCCTATGACAATGTGGATTCCGAAGATCGAGGACGCGCAGGGGCCGATCTATCTCGCGATCGCAAATGCGCTGGAGGCCGATATCAACGAGGGTGTGCTGGACCAGGGTGACCGGTTGCCGCCCCAACGTGAGCTTGCCTACCGGCTTGGCGTGACGCTCGGCACGATTACTCGTGCTTACGGCGAAGCCGAGCGTCGACGGCTGGTCAAGGGCGAAACTGGAAGGGGAACCTATGTCGCACCCGAAACACACAAGGTGTCACCGCTTGTACCGAAGGAAGACGAACCGGACGTTTGTGATCTGGCCCGGAATTTTGCGTACCCGCATCTGAATCCCAGCCTGTCCGATGGCCTGGTGCGTATGGCAGGGACGGTCGGCATCGACCGGTTGAACGGGTTTGTCCCTTCGGAGGGATTGAAAGCCCATCGGGAAACAGGTGTTCTTGTCTTCAAGGACTATGGCCTGGAGGCAGACCCGGACCGGGTCGCCGTGACCTGTGGGGCGCAACACGGCATTCAGGTGACCTGTCAGGCGTTGTTTCGCAGCGGTGACGCGATTGCTGTCGATCGGTTTACATATCCGTCCATCTTTCCGTCGCTCGCGAGCATCGGATTGAAGGCGGTCTCCGTGCCTGCAATTGTTCGGGCCGACGGCGGCTTTGGAGCCATGGACCCGGACGCCCTTGCACAGGCCGCCATAAGTCACGGCATCAAGGGAGTCTTTTTGATGCCCAATATGCAGAACCCCACAACCCACACCATGTCGGCCGAAGAGCGGGAGGATCTGGTCAGGGTTGCGCGCGAGCATGATCTCAAGATCGTGGAGGACGATCCCTATACACCGTTTTTGCCGGAAACCCTTCCGGCCTTCGGCGCGCTTGCACCTGAACGCACCGCATCGATCGCCAGCATCTCCAAGGTCTGCTCGCCCGGCAGCCGCATCGGTTTCGTGCATGTGCCGGAGTTGTTTGGCAATTCCATTCGCAACAAGATCGGCGAAAGCACGTGGATGGCTTCGCCGATTACCGCCGAACTGATTGCCGGCTGGGTGCGTGAAGGACATCTGTTCAAGACCCTGCGCCTGAAACGGATCGCCAACAGAACCCGCTTCCGCCAAGCGGTTCAAATCCTGTCTCCCTATTATCTCCAGGGTGACACCAACAAGGTTTTCGGATGGTTGCGCCTGCCCGCGCATGTCGATGCCGATGCGGTTCAGGCAGCCCTTGGCCACCAGCGGATTTCAGTGCTTTCGTCGCGTTATTTCCAGTTGCGGGATCATGCGCCGGCGCCCTATTTGCGGATCACTTTCGGCTCCGAAGAGTCCGACGAGCGTTTCCGGCGGTCACTGGAAAAAGTCCGGGCGACCATTGACCAATTGGCCGAATTGCCGGAACTGAGCCGCCCTGTAGGATAGGATCACTTTGACATCCCGGGTTTTCCGGTCAATAAGCAGCCCCCAGGAGACAGGGACGCCGGGTTGCCGTTGACCGATCAACACCCGGACGTTCCCGGGCGCCGTTGGCGAGGTGAAATGGCTTTCTGGCTCACAAAGAACAGACAGGAACAGGCCCGGGTCTGCGATCCGGAAGCAAACCCGTTTGCTGTCTTCGAAGGAGCCGGCCTCGAGATCGGCAACAGACGTATCCTGTCCGATCTGACACTTTCATTGAAGGAAGACCGGATCGGGGTGATCGGATTGAACGGATCCGGCAAGAGCACGTTTGTACGCATGCTGAACGGCCTGCGACTGCCGGACCATGGATCGCTGAGGCTGTTCGGCGCGGAGGCAGAAAAAGCTGCTCCTGAATTGCCCCGCCATGTCGGATTTGTCTTCCAGAACCCGGATCATCAGGCCATTTTCCCTACGGTCGAAGAAGAAATCGCGTTCGGCCTGACCCAGTTGGGCGCAGACAAGCGGGAAAGCCGCGAACGCGCTCTGGCGTTCCTGCAGGCGCATGGCTGCGAAGCATTGGCAGCATCACCGATTGCCGAATTGTCCGAGGGGCAGAAACAACTGGTCTGCATATTGTCCGTGCTCGTCATGGAACCGCGTTTGCTGGTGTTGGACGAACCAATGACCAGTCTGGATGCACTGGCCTCCCGCAGGATACGCGACAAGATCCTGTCATTGCCGCAGAAAATCGTGATGGTGAGCCATGATCTTGGCCATTTCGAGGGTTTCGACCGAATCTTGTGGCTCGAAGAAGGCCGGCTGCGAATGGACGGATCTCCTTTTGAGGTCCTGAGGGCATTTGAGGCGGACATCTCGCGCAGATCGGGTGTCAAACTGGAGCTGGCGGCGTTGTGATCTCGATCTATCTCCAGGGGAAACAGCTGGTTGCAATTCCGGCTGGGTTGTAACTGTTGGCCGTGGCGATTGCCAGCCTGATACTGTTTCAGGTCAAGTCGCCCTGGGTCTTTCTCGCGTGCCTTTCCGTCGTGGCCGTATGTTATGCCTCGCTGGGCAGGCAAGGGGTAGCGCAATTGAAGCTTTTGCGCGGGTTGAGCTATTTTCTTGGCATCTTGCTGCTTTTTCACTGGGTGTCCGGAACCTTCCTGGAGGGTGTTTCGGTCATCCTGCGCCTGCTCGTGCTTGTTCTGGCGGCAAATCTGGTTTCGGTGACCACCCGTCTGGACGATATGCTTGATGCGGTCATGCCGCTGTTCATGCCGCTTGAATGGATCGGTTTGTCGGTAAGAAAACCGGCTTTGGGCGTTGCGCTCGTGCTTCGGTTCGCGCCTTACATGATGCAGATTTTTTCCAGGTTGAGTGAGGCTTATCAGGCACGCGCCGGAAGCACGAATTCCTGGAAGTTGTTGCCTCCGCTGGCCATTCAGTGCCTGCGCATGTCCGACAATGTCGCAGACGCACTCAGGGCGCGTGGCGGGTCGGAAGGCTTGTCGAGATAAATTTGAAATCATGCGGGTAACAGAAGCCCGCGTTGGGTGAATTCTGAGGAAGCAAGGCGGCCGACAAAGTCGCCTGGCAGACACGGACCAAAACAAAATGGAGGCGTGGAAACGCTATGGCTGATCGTTCGCTGGTTCATATCGCATTCTATGCGGCATTGATCGCTGCACTGGGACTGGTTCCCCCGGTTGCAATTCCGTTTCTGGGGGGTGTGCCGATCACGGCGCAGACGCTGGGTGTGATGCTTGCTGGTGTCATGCTGGGCCCGGTCAGGGGCGGGCTTGCCGTTCTCCTGTTCTTGTTTCTGGTTGCACTCGGTGCGCCGTTCCTCTCCGGTGGCCGGGGTGGATTGGGTGTTTTCGCCACGCCGTCCGTCGGTTTCCTGATCGGTTGGCCGGTCGGTGCTTTTGTTGCGGGCTGGATCATGCGGTCGCCTCATAGCTCTTGCTATCGGCATTCCACGCGGTCGGAACAAATCAGTGGTCTCTGGCGCTGGAAAATCGCGCGACGATTAACCTCCATCGAAGACCACCGAGCATCCCATCCGACGATCGATCGGAATTGCGTCCACTCATCATCGGATCGCGCGACGCTGCCGATGAACTCCGTCAGTGGCGATCGCTCGCTCCAGGCGAGGCATTATGGCCTTTGTCGGAAACAGACTGAAAGACTTCGCTGCCGCACGGCCTGGTGACACGGCGCTGAAGTGCGGTGCCGCCACGTGGACATGGCGGTGCCTGGTGGATGCGATCGGCTCCGTGGAAGACCTCGTCCGACACGCTACCTCCAGGGGTGGCCGCGTTGCCCTCCTGCTGGACGATCCGGCAGCGCTGCTGATCTGCTTCCTTGCCTGTGCCCGCACTGCGCGGATCGCAATGGTGCTCGACCCAGGCTGGCCGGACGGCCAAAGGACCCGGGTGCTGAGCGCCGTTCGCCCGGAAGTGCTGATAGATACCCGCTCCTATTCTCTGGTTCGGCAACAGGCAGTACTCGAAAACGCAGTGTCAGCATTGAATGAACCAGATCCTGCAGAAAATGATCCATTTTACTGTGGATTTACGTCTGGCTCGACCGGCACCCCAAAGGGATATCTTCGAAATCACGGTTCATGGCTCTGGAGTTTTGAGCTTTCAAAAAGGGAATTCGGGATCTCGGACAGGGACCGGATCGTGCTTGCCGGACAACTTACCCACTCGCTTCACCTTTATGGCGCGGTTTGCGGGCTGGCATGTGGTCACGAGGTTGTCCTGACGCCTCGTTTCGACCCCCGCTCCTTACTTGCCGATCTTTCAGAGGGTGGTGCGGCGGCCGTGCTTTATGCAACGCCGACACAACTGCATTTTCTGGCGGAAGCAGCGGAAAGGCTTGGCCCTGTTGAAACGGTCCATCAGGTGCTGGCAAGTGGTGCCAAGTGGCAGGACCGGGATCGCGAACGGCTTGCCGAAGCTTTTCCAAAAGCACATTTGTTCGAGTTTTATGGAGCGTCGGAGACGAGTTTCATTACGATTTCAGGGTCAGCTGAAAACGCACCACCAGGATCGGTCGGCCGCCCGCCCGCAGGGATCGACATTGTGATCGGGGATCCCGGTGCACCTGTGCCGAGCGGCGAGGCGGGTGCGATCTGGGTGAAAAGCAATCTGCTCTTTTCCGGCTATCTCTGTGGCAACGATCCGCAGACACGCTGGCAGGACGGTTGGCTGACCTTCGGAGATGAGGGATATCTGGACGGGAACGGATTCCTGTTCCTGACTGGTCGTTCCAACCGGATGATCGTGACGTCGGGTTTGAATGTCTATCCGGAAGAAATCGAAGCTGTGCTGTTGTCTCATCCAGATGTTGCCACGGCAATCGTGATTGGATTGGAAGATCCGGTCAGGGGCCAACGACTGGTAGCCGCCGTGCAATTGGGAGTTCCAACAAAGCGGGCCGAAGACGTGTTGTTGAGATATTGCAGGACACGGCTCGCGGCCGGCAAGCTGCCGCGCCGGATCCTGATTTTTGAAAACCTGCCACTGACGGCAGGAGGTAAACCGGACATTCAGCGTGTGACCCGCGAACTGTCCACCCGGAGGGGCGTGGAGTGAGCGTTCCAGCAAGAACTGCTGCTTACATGATCGCCGCGAGGCGTACACCGGTCACCCCGCGCGGGGGTGGCCTTTCTGCCTATCAGGTCGATGAACTGGCGGCGCCGGTCCTGAGAATGGTCCTGATGGATGTCGGGGTTCCACCGGCCTCGGTCGATCATGTCATCCTTGGTAATGCGCTTTATGCCGGCGGTAATCCGGCGCGCATGGCGATGCTCCGCGCAGGCTTGCCGAGCACGGTTCCGGCCATGACGCTCGACAGCCAGTGCTGTTCCGGTCTGGACGCGATCATCATGGCGTCTCGCCTGATCGAGGCGGGCGCGGCGGAATGCGTGCTGGCTGGTGGTGCTGAAAGTTTCAGCCGGGCGCCGATACGACTGAAACGACCGCCCGACAAGGCGTCCAGCCCTGTTGCCTACGACAGACCGCCATTTGCGCCACCGCCTTACGCTGACCCGGATCTGGCGGATGCCGCTGCAAGGCTTGCGACGAACCGTGCGATATCGCGCGAGGCCCAGGCCGATTTTGCGAATTTCCTCGCATGCCAAGGCGATTGAGGCCAAGAGCAGTCATGACGGTAATCTTGTTCCGGTGGCCGACCATGCGCCTGTCGACGAGTTTACACGCAATCTCACTTTGAAGACCGCAATGCGCGCTGCCGTTCTTGCAGGACACCATGATTGCGGAATGACGGCTGCTACAATTGCCTGCGAGGCAGACGCCGCGGCTGGCGTCTTGCTGGTTTCGGAGCGCATATGGAAGGACATGGCGATCCCGGCACTCAGAATACTGGCAGGAAGGAGTGAAGGAGGTGACCCGTCCGACCCGGCACTGGTTCCGGCAAAGGTCGCGATTTCGCTGTTTGAGGGCCTGAAGAGATCTACGCGGGATTTCGGCTGCATAGAACTGATGGAAGCCTACGCGGTTCAGGCGATGGTGACCGCAAGGGACCTTGGAGTTGCGCCCCGTCAATTGAACAGGCTGGGCGGCGCGCTGGCGCGCGGGCATCCGATTGGCGCCTCGGGCGCGGTTTTGGCGGTCCAGCTTTTTGAGCAGATGGCAAGGACGCAGGGGAAGGCTGGGGCGGGCACTGCAGGCCCGGGTCTTGCATTGATAGCGGCAGCGGGTGGCCTGGCTTCTGGATTGGTGGTTGAGCGCGTTGTTAGCAAAGGTGGATAACTTGTAACCTTTTGAAAAAATTAAATTTAATCCATGTAGTGAAACTTTTTTCGCTTTTTTGCATTTTTTTCGTTTTGGCCTGTTGACGTTATAAGATGTGGTGCGTATAACCGCGCTCATCGACGGCGGCGATGTCGCTGGCGGCAGGGTTTTGTGACCTTAATTCCAGAAAATTGGTCTTTGTTGGCCGGGTCGAGAGGTTCGGTTAAGGCTTGTTTTTGTTGTGATTTTGGTTTTGCCTTTTGAGGTTTTTCCTCGGTTCTTTGACAATTTGGTAATGAAGGAAGGGAAGCGTAGGCGGCGTTGGCCTTGCGATCATCGGGCATTTTTAGTGTTTGATGGTTTTAAGGAGTTACGCAGGTACGCTGATCTTTAATACAAGGAAGCCGATTGTGTTGGATGGATTTCGGTCTGTTTGATATGATTTGGTTCTTGTTAATTCTGCAATTGAGCGCAGTGATGTGTTTGATTGTATTGAGTGCTTTATAGCGATTGATTAAGCAGCCTGTGATTGGACTTTTTAGTTAAACCTGAGAGTTTGATCCTGGCTCAGAACGAACGCTGGCGGCAGGCTTAACACATGCAAGTCGAACGAACTCTTCGGAGTTAGTGGCAGACGGGTGAGTAACGCGTGGGAACCTACCTTTAGGTACGGAACAACAGTTGGAAACGACTGCTAATACCGTATGAGCCCTATGGGGGAAAGATTTATCGCCTAAGGATGGGCCCGCGTTGGATTAGCTAGTTGGTGGGGTAAAGGCCTACCAAGGCGACGATCCATAGCTGGTCTGAGAGGATGATCAGCCACACTGGGACTGAGACACGGCCCAGACTCCTACGGGAGGCAGCAGTGGGGAATATTGGACAATGGGGGCAACCCTGATCCAGCCATGCCGCGTGAGTGATGAAGGCCCTAGGGTTGTAAAGCTCTTTCAGCGAGGAGGATAATGACGTTACTCGCAGAAGAAGCCCCGGCTAACTTCGTGCCAGCAGCCGCGGTAATACGAAGGGGGCTAGCGTTGTTCGGAATCACTGGGCGTAAAGCGCACGTAGGCGGACTTTTAAGTCAGGGGTGAAATCCCGGGGCTCAACCCCGGAACTGCCTTTGATACTGGAAGTCTTGAGACCGAGAGA